TCAGCATCGGGGGGGGATCAAAAAAGGTAAATTGAAATTGTTATCCGGACACCCCAGACACGGTTCCGTTTTGTTAGGCGCCCTGTCTTTTGCACCATCATACGGCAACCATAACTTAGCGGTTCTTAATTAGTAGGGAATAAGAGTACAAGGCACCTTCTTATGCCCCTGTACACTACACTTGAAGGGATGCAAACCCTGATCACGCTCGCAAATCCGTTTTGGCACGTCCCTGCTGCATCCAACTGGTCAAGCATGAACAGCCGAAAACCACAAAATCGCATCTTAAACTTGGAAGTCTTGCCGGGCCGGCTGATGCATCCATTTCCCGGTCGCCGTTCGACGTATAACCCTGCAAAATGTTACTCCTCATGCCAAGCAGTTCCCCCAGCCTGGATTTGGGTCACCATGATATGGGAGTTTGCGATCATATGGGACTCGTAATATAGACTCCCAAATAGTAGGATCCCCTTATGACAAGGACCCCGATAAGGTTCCCCCAATATATCATAAACCCCATACGACTTTAAACCCTAAGCCCTACACCCGTTCTAGGTTTGGGGCTTGACCCTTTGTGGGGTTAAGCCTGACAAGGCCCGAGGCCCTCTAGGCCATGCAACTAACTCCGGTTTAGGGTTTAGGGTTTAGGGTTTAGGGTTTAGGGTTTAGGGTTTAGTGTGTGGTCCGACACCGCACTGGCAAAAAGCTTCCTGACCTCCACGACAAGGAGTCCGCAAAATTTCCACTACCAAAAACGCGCTCGGGCTCGCAATGTGCGAAGCAGAACGCTACTTGCCATTAGGGTTGAGGGCGTTAGGGCTTTTTGTTTAGGGTTTAGGGTTTAGGGTTTAGGGTGTTGATTTCGGGTCTGCTCTAAGTTTGGATCCCTTTCTGGGTACCGCCCTGAGTGGGTCATGATCGCGCCATGTCCTTGTGTGTCCCTTGTGCCAAAGAAAAGCTCCATGGTGCCCTAGTGACCCTAAACCCTAAACCCCACACCCCTTAAACCCTAAACCCTCTAAACCCTAAACCCTAAACCCCAAAGCCTCTACCCTCTAAATCCTCTCCAAACCCTCTAAACCCTAAACCCTATACCCTAAACCCTGAACCCTAACCCTAAACCCTAAAACCAAAACCTTAACCCTAGCCCCTGCATAAGACGACCTGCGCAGGCGATCCGATGTGTCCAACCTCTCCGCTCCGGCTCACGCATCCGCGTGCAAGGCCTCGAGACGCTTCATCGAGGCGCTATCCTCGCAGAGTCGCGCTGCCGAACTTGGGCTGTAGGGAGCTTAGGGACCACGGTTTAGGGTTGTGTTCCTGCTTTCTTGTCAATATACTCAATTCCCGAGTGAGGAATTAAAGACTCGAGCCAACCCTGTAACTACTGTTTCCTTAAGAGCCCCCAAAACATGAAAGATCATGGTTCCGATATTGCCCGCATGAGGAAGACTATCTTTTGCGCGGTTCTTAAGCAAATACACTAAACCCCAGGCAAGTAAGAATCGAACCTTCACCCCAGATTCCCAGATCCCCTGGCCCGAACGGCAAACAAGTTATGACTATGGCCTCGGGGTCAGAGGTGGAACCTAAACAGTACAAAACCCAACCCCTCTTCTGCAGACCTTGATGTATTATAAAAAAGCCATTAAAGAAACCTGAACCCTAAACTCTAAACCCTAAACCCCTGGAACAAAATGTAGGCAACCTGTAGGTTTCGGGCTCTTGGGTTCAGGGTACAATGGTTTAAGATTGGCTTCCTACGATTCCAGACTGAGCTTGTACGCAGGACTGCAGGTCACCTACTTCAAGGTTCAGTGGCGCAGGGTTGCACGGTTTAGGGTTTAGGGTACTTTGACAAGCATGATGTGCTCAACCCATGATAATTTATGCACTGGTTCGTGTCGGAGATGGAATATTCTGCCGTGTCAGAACCATTCTCCCAACTAGCCTTGTGGACTCCAATAAAGGGGTCTTAGCTTTTTCGCCGGACGGTCCATGCAGTGCAGAGAACGGAGTGGTAGCATTTTCTTTTGCTGCCTCCGCAAGACACAGGTGCAGGTGGCTGCTGGAGTCCCGGCTGACTTCGTGTTGCTTCATATGGTGGTTTCCGAGATTAGGGTGTTTTATTGGGGTCCCTATGAAAAGGGAAACCCACCCATGTGAGGGTCTTTTTTCGGGGCCCCATTTTTTTCCGCAAAGCCCTCTATGGACAGCAGCACACCAAGCAGCTCCCCCTGAACGTTTAACCCGGCGCACGTGGGGCTCAACACCCACACAGAGGTGCGCGGGCCACGATTACACAGAAACAAGGCAGCTTGCATAGCGACAGTCCGCCACAAATTGATCTGGCAGTGGATCTGCCAACTCGTCTACCAACCAATGAGTCTCGTGCTCCAGATGCCTCGGAAAAGCGGGAATCCAGCCAATACTTGCCCTAAACCTCAGGCCTACATCAATAAGAAATGAATATACTAAAATTTGTGATTCTGTGACAATGGATGATATTAATAAATTAACAAAAACTATGAGATTACAGGTTTGTCGGGCTTTCGGGGGCCGGCCATGTGTTTGTCACAGAGTCCCAGGAAGATGCCAGCAACATCTGTGAGGGCTTTTTTTTCAGATCTTCCAAAACCCCTTAACTCAGGAATGTACCCTAATCTATACGAAGGCTTCTTATTAAGAGTGAGGGCATATTCCCAAATTGAGGGGTTTTGGAAGATCTGGGTAAAGTAACCCTAAACCCTAAACCCAAAAAACCCTAAACCCTAAACCCTAAACCCTAAACCCTAAACCCTAAACCCTAAACCATACAAAACGGGCCAAGGTGCTCATAACGGTTTTCCGGCCAACAGCGGGCTTCAACGAACTCCTTCACCCTGCGCTCGAGGAATTTCCAGGGCAGGTCCAGGGCGAAGTTCACCTAGGAGGGCCCCACGTAGGGTTTAGGGTTTAGGGTTTAGGGTTTGGGGTTTGGGGTTTGGGGTTTGGGGTTCATAGGGTTTAAGGATGGCCCTTGAAACCCTCGGAAAGAGGGTTCCTGAATATGATCCAAGTAGACCATAAAAGTTGGGATGTTCCCCCGTTATACAACCCTAAACCCTAAACCCTAAACCCTAAACCCTAAAACCCTAAAACCCTAAATAGGAATAGGGTGCACCCGTTTACAATCTCTGTTAGTAGAAGGGGGGACATCCCAACCAATAAGGGAAACAAATCAAAATGTCCCAAGGGCCCAGATCTTCCAAAACCCCTTAATTAAGGTATATAACCCTAATTCATACTAAGGATCCTTATTATGACTTAGGGTACATACCTTCGTTAAGGGGTTTTGGAAGCTCTGGGAACCTACCGAGCCACAAAGCCCAAGATCAAGGGGTGGTGGCCCACAACCACGATGGATGCTGGCCTCGGCTCTCTCTTAGGGTTTAGGGTTTAGGGTTTAGGGTTTAGGGTTTAGGGTTTGGGGTACTGCAGTTTGCAAACTTGCAAAGTGCCCGGAGTCCCCAACGCCCCTGTCACCATGAATGCATCATGACGCGCAATCAGGAGCCCTACTAGACACCCCCTAGTTCCAGGAACTTTCTTTGAAACTGCATACAGGAAGACAGGGCCGCCCTAAACCCTAAACCCTAAACCCTAATCAAACCCTAAACCCTAAACCCAGCTGTTCTGGAATGACACGAAATGCTCCGTGTCCCTGCTGCAATTCAGCCTGTGCAGGTGGGCAATGTGGGCTTACGTGGCTCTTCCTTGGCAGCGAAACACAGACAGATATATACATATATATAGGTATATGTGTAGAAGTACATATACGCGTTCTTGATTCTGCTTTCATTTGTTCTTCATTTAGTTCTTTATTTCATCCTTCCTGCCTTCTTTCTTCCTTTCTTTCTTTCTTTCATTCTTTCTCTCCCTCTTCTTCTTCTTCTTCTTCTTCTACAGGGCTTGAGGCCCTCTCTCTGTCTCTCTTCCTCTCCTTTCTCTCTCTGTCTCTCAATTCCTCCTCCTCCTCCTCCTCTTATATAACAGAGACAACCTGCAACTTCCGGTTAGGGCTTAGGGCTTAGGGCTTATAAACCCTAAACCCTAAACCCTAAACCCTAAACCCTAAACCCTAAACCCTAAACCCTAAACCCAAAACCTAAACCCTAAACCCTAAACCCTAAACCCTTAGGATTTCGAGTTTAAGGTTCCTTAACCACTCGGCTGCGACCTCAAGAGATGTGAGACGTCCATCGAACCCCGTCTTGTAGCTCCTCGGGGCCGGCCCCCGGAACTAAACAAACAGGGTTTAGGGTTTAGGGTTTAGGGTTTAGGGTTTAGGGTTTAGGGTTTAGGGTTTGAGTAACCCTAGCTCTGTGGACCTAGCCAGCGAGACGGGGTGCCGGTAGGCTGCATCCACAGCCATGTACATCATCGACGTGCCCAAGACCTCAGTAGCCCCAGTGACCATCTTGGAATAAAGGTGCACTGTTTGGGGTTTAGGGTGTAGGGTTTAGGGTTTAGGGTTGAACCTTGAACCCCAAAACGGGGAAAAGGGTACCACTGGGCTACCAAGAGACGCAGGCCACCACCAAGAAGACGCCACCCTGCACGGTGCGCCTGATGTGGCATGGCCAGCACGACATGGCCAGCCTTAGTTGATGCAGCGTTTTAGGGTTTAGGGTTTGGGGTTGAGGGCATCCTAGGGGAACTAAAGATTCAATAGAATTATAGACAGAGGGATTATCATACCACAAAGGGTTGCAGCCGTCCTACTCTACTGACCCCAAACCCTGAACCCTAAACCCTCAACCCTAAACCCTAGCCCCCAAACCCTAAACCCTAACTAAAGCCCCAAGCCGCAAACCCTAATCGCACCAAGCAGCAGCTGCTTGAGTAATTGCATCGGCCAGTCCCACGACAAAAGCTCGAAGATGAAGGCAACCCCCAACTGGTCCACAAAGACCGAATGCGCCAAGCCTCGGCTGCCCCCTGGCGGCTTCTTTCTGGGGTTTAGGGGTTTAGGGTTTAGGGAAGTGTAGAGTGTAGAGTATACACTTGCTGAAAGGCCCGGAAAGTCTTGCCCAACAAGGGTCAGAAGCTGTCACGCAGAAAGATTCGGTCGGTCGTGGCCCCTGTGGGATAGAACATCTGAGCATACATACCCGTTGCCAGGCCTGCACCGAGATCAGCAGTCCAAAATGCAACGAGCATCACCCAGAATTGCACGTTCGGATGCCTTCGGCAGCCGAAGAACACCAGCGCAAATCCCAGGAACAGGCTCGGGATTCCCAGCAGTATAAGCTGGCCCAGCAAAGAGTCGTTGTCATCGGGGCAGTGGGATGAATCGGTTGGCTCCAAGTGTCCAGCGCGGCATTGGATCATGATGGACTCATTTAAGTCTACCTCAGAAGCACCCTAAACCCTAAACCCTAAACCCTAAACCCTAAACCCTAAACCCTAAACCCTAAACCCTAAACCCTAAACCTTTTTGAACCAGGAGCTGGTACTCATGCCAACTCACGGGCAGAGGCTTCATCAGCGCCACTATCCACTGATGGCATGCCTTAAACCCTAAACCCTAAACCCTGAACCCTGTACCCTGAAGCCTAAACCCTCCTAGTTGCCAAGAAGGCCGTATACTTTCGGAGCCCTTAAATTCTGCCTAGCCCTAAGCATCCATGTACCTACATAGCACGAGAAAACGTGAACCCTCAAGCTACCAGATAGGAACCCTCGTTACGGCCCAAGTCTATACTTTTAAGGTGCATGGATCCTCTCGGGGCAAATTGTCACATATGCCTCTGCGTAGCATAACTATTCGGGGTGGGAGGGAGGCAGAGGAGGGTTAGGGTTTAGGGTTTAGGGTTTAGGGTTCAGGGTTCAGGGTTCAGGGTTCAGGGTTCAGGGTTTAGGGTTTAGGGTTTAGGGTTTAGGGTTTAGGGGTTAGGGGTTAGGGTTTAGGGTTTATTTAGGGTTTAGGGTTTAGAGTTTAGGGTTTAGGGTTTAGGGTTTAGGGTACTTGTGACTTGGACCCGGAGGCACCACGGTGATCAGGTCCGTCGGGTCATTCAGGTTGTACTCGAGGCCGACCACGAAGTTCGCGGTCGAGTTCCCACAAGGCTCCGTGAGCTCTAAGCACTCGCCTCAGCCATGTGATTTCCGTCTCTGTAACCCTTGCTAAACTTGTTGCAACAGGCCATTCTCCAGCTGCCTCGGTCAGAGCACGCGCCCACGTGCTCTCGTTTGAGAGCACCCCAAGATGGAAGTACCCAAACTTGAAGCAGCCCTAAACCCCAAACCCTAAACCCTGAGCTCGTCGCTCTCGTGGCAACACGCTCAGTCTGAATGTTGAACTAAGGAAATCATCTTACGAGCTATTCGCGGGGGCACACTGATGAAAGAACAAACATATCGATGACTGGAAGAAATGCTATCATGGAGTTCAAGCAAGACGTCACCCTGACTTTGGAGGAGATCTTCATGCATATGGAAATCCAGAAGCAAATCCAAAAAACTCCAACTGGATCCATTGCACCCAGGCGAGAATTACGTGTTCCAGCGTGCCAGTCCGCGAGAAGGCTTGAAAACCCTCCGACACATGGAGCCAGTGAATGCTGTAGGCGTCCCCCACGCACTGCACGAACACCCCGAGTCGCCAGGGGAACCTCTAGCCTGAAAACATCTCGCCATCGATTCGTGGAAATAGCATGTAGAACTGGGTGTACATGTAGAAAGGCTTGCTTACGACTGTCAAAGTCTGCCATGCCTGCCTATCCTGTGCCAATGCTGTAAGCGCAGCGGTGTCCCTGCCGCTTGTGTTGCTAAACCCTAAACCCTAAACCCTAAACCCTAAACCCTAAACCCTGCAAACCGGCAAACCGGCAAAAAACTCGTAGAACCCTGTTTCCCCACAGCACCCGAATGAGAACATTTGTGATCCCTCCCTGGGTTCCTAACTCGTCCGCTTGCGACGTTCCAGGGTTTAGGGTTTAGGGTTTAGGGTTAGGGTTTAGGGTTTAGGGTTTAGGGTTTAGGGTCATTCCGACCGAGGCTTGCGCAGCTGCTCCAATTTCCCTGGCCTTGTTACTCACTCCCGTGTTGCAGACCTTCGTGATGCCATGCACTTCTGGTTCTGGGTGCCCGCGGCTCTCAGCAAGCATGGAGCTAGACAAACACTTATACTTACACATGATAACCCTAAACCCTAAGCCCTAAGCCCTAAGCCCTAAACCGTAACACACACTGACTTAAGTCCACAGTCTCTTGGTAGGCCCGCAACCACCTTCGAATAAGGGAACCTTGAACCCCCCAAAAGGGACGAGGGTACCACTGGGCTACCAAGAAAACCCTAAACCCTAAACCCTAAACCCTAAATCCTAAACCCTAAACCCTAAAGCCTAAAGCCTAAAGCCCTCATGCCAGGGCTGCGCCCAGGTTGCCCCAGCGCAGGAACTTCGCGTCACTCGAGGACAGCAGCGCAAAGCAAGCAGCGACACTCAGGCGAATCATGGCTTGAGAGTTCTGTATAGGCTTCCTTTACAAGGACCAATTGAGCCCTAAAAAGGGTTTAGGGTTCATATTACCTCAAAGGTAGTCTAGGGTATCAGTTCATATTGCCCCAAAGGTAGTCTAGGGTATCAGTATATGGTCCCAATTTTAGGGTCCAATTTGGTCCAAAAGGTTGGGGACGAGGGCTGAGGCGTTGGGAGCAGCGCCACCTAGCTTACAGTAGTTCTACACGGCCACTTGGCTGCACTCAGGAGGGTAGCTATAAGTTAAACTTTTAGCTGCCTTAATAAGAAACCCAATAAACCCAATAAACCCAACAAAGGTAAGGATCTAAAGTTACAGTAAAGTACCACAAAGGCCAGGTGCCTGTTTCTCACGCCGAGCAGAGCTTTGCCGCCCGCGTTCTGCCTTGAAACGAGGGAGTCGGTCGGCGCCTCATTCCCCTGAGCCCGGTGCCTATAAACCGCAAGGCTTTTACCCCAAAGGCCCATAGGTAGCTCCTCCATATGGGAGCAGTGAGCAGTGTATAACTTCCGTCCTATAACAAAGCCCGAGACATCCCAACCCTAAAGCCTAAAACCTAAACCCTCATTGGAATACCCTTCACCCTAAACCCTAAACCCTAAACCCTAAAACCCTAAAACCCTAAACCCCTAAACCCCTAATCCCTGAACCCAAGAGCTCTAAGAGTCCCACCTAAGGGTCCATGTACCTATGTGGTGTACACTTTTGCGCCTTGCAGGGGTTCCTATCTAGCAGCTTGTTTCAAGTATGTGTCTAGGCACAATAGACCCCTGAGGATCCATGTACCGATATGGTATATACTTGGGCCCTAAAGCTACCATAGAGCAACTCCTTTTTGGGCGCAAGTATATACGTACTAAATATAGGTACATGGATCCATTAAAGTTATGAGGGTAACCCAAGCGCCCCGTCCTTTGCGACCGTTGCAGACTCCTCTGCTTCGCGCCCAGAGAGCTCCGGAGAGAAGGCCGGAATGCAAAGCACCTCGCAGCTCGTTGTTTAGGGTTTAGGGTTTAGGGTTTAGGGTGCTGCTGTCTTGTATTCAGGGTACCCGGAAACACCTGGGCTTTAGGGCAGTAGGTAGCAAATTCATAGTTTGATATCACACCTGCCCCCAAAACAAAAAAGAGGCTCACATCTTGGATATGCTTTGGAGGGCTTAAGGGGCTGTCTCTCACTCGTGGTCATCATATCTTGAGTCTTGATTACTATTCAACTCTGCTGCGGTATCATGTGCCAGTACAAACGATGCAAGGCATGCTGCCTGCTCCAAACTTGATGGGGCCTTCGGAAGATCTTCAATTTGAGAAATACAGCATTTAGGGTGCCAGGTGTCAACAGTCGCCCTTAATTGTCCCTTTAATACGTCCCAATCTAGACTGGCTTGGTAGCCCAGGAACCATGTTCCCGTAAGGGTGCCCTTTTCTGGGGTGGGTACTGTATAAGGGAGCCTTGAATCCCAAAAAAGGCAAGAGGGTACCACTGAGCCATGGCAGTATATGAACCCTGAACCATGAACCCTAAACCCTAAACCCTAAACCCTAAACCCTAAACCCTAAACCCTAAACCCTACATATGGTTGCACGTATCTGACCCCGGCAGCTACGAAACACTGCCAGGCCAAGGCGCAGTGTAGCTTGTCGCCTCCGGCCAAATCCACTTCACCTGTTGCCATGACCCCCTGGTTGGCTGGTTCTTAGGGTTTAGGGTTTAGGGTTTAGGGAATGAGGGAATGAGGGAATGAGGGCCTTGTATAATATCTTGAAGGGTATATATGGGGCCCTCATTCCCTCATTCCCTACTAAGAACCAGCCAGATGACTGGGGGAGGTTTGGGGGCCCTACAAAAATTGACTTTCTATGGCTTTGATGAGGATTATAGAGGGGTTTAGGGTTTTCAGGTTTGGGGCTTAGGGAAGTTCAATCTTAAAATCTTAAAATTGTGTTCAAGCCTACCCCTCATGAGGCTTTGGTAGCTTCTGGTTCGAGGAGCAGGCATGCATCCCTCGTGGTATGCTTAACGCGGCCGGGGGGAACCCTGGGGGGGGTGGGGTGGGGGGCAGGGCACCCTAGACCCTAAACCCTAAACCGTGTGTGAGCTCACGAACCCTGGGATGCCTCTCATCTCTGTGTCGCGGGCCCTCTTCCCATTTTCAAGGTAGCCCGTAGCCACCATTTAAGAGTTTAGGGTTTAGGGTTTAGGGGTGGCAGAGCCGGCAGCTGCCGAACCCGAGTCTGCGAGAGAGAGAGAGAGAGAGCGACAGATGGGGTTAAGCGTAACTAACTGATAGGCATTTTCAGGCAAGGCTTTAGGTTTTTGCCTGAGCCCTAGTACGTTTTTGTGAGGAACAATTGGTCCCCATTACTTTGTAGCCCAGTAACCATCGCATAATAAGGGTATCTTTTTGGGGACTGGGTCCCCCTAAACCCTCTAAACCGTAAACCCGGAGTCCCTAAAAACCCTAACTCGAAATCCCTGCAACCCTAAACCCGAAAACCTATAAACCCCAAACAATAAACCCTACAAACCCACAGGGTTCGGGTGGCCCACCCCGTGGTGCGTCTGGGGCCATGGCCCGCAAGCCTTTCGGCAAGAAAACCGCCTCGCCAGCCTGCCGGTAGGTTTAGGGGCTTAGTAGGGATTTAGGGTTTAGGGATTTAGGGTCAAGGGTTTTGGGCTTGGATGGAAGGTTTTTTGGGTTTAGGGTTTTTAGGGATTTAGGGTCAGGGGTTTAGGGGTTAGGGTTCTAGGGTTTCCGGGTTGGGGCTCAAGGGTTTCGACTCTCACACTTCAGGGTTTAGGGATTTAGGGCTTATGGTTTGGGGTTTAGGGCTTTTAGGGACTTTGCTTTTTGTTCCCCTCCTGCACAGCTGAGGCGAATCCGCATCGCATTGTGATTTAGGGCTCCAACGTTTTAGTGTTTAGGGGTTTACAGCGTTTAGGGATTCAGGGTTTAGAGCTTAAGGGTTTAGGGTTTCTAGGGTTCTAGGTTTAAGGGCTTAAGGGTTTAGGGTTTTTTAGGGATTTCGGGTTTAGGGGTTGAGGCCATTTAGGGTTTTAGGGTTTAAGGCCTATAAGGGTTTTAAGGGCTTTAGGATTTACGGTTTTAGGGCATTGCTATTTCGATGACTTAAATGTCTATTCCTTATTGCCTTTAAGTACCCTTAAAAATGTAAAATGTTGTCCCAGTATGACAAAGGTTAGGGTTTAGGGCGCGCGGCTTCTGGTGGCACCTGATGAAGTCTGGTTTAAACTGCACACATTAGGGGCCTGAATAATTAGAATAGGGATTTTTGGGGGGGTTATTGTAGTATACTTACGGAGGGACCATAAGCGAATATTCTTATTCCGACCCCTCTAAAAACGATTATGTGATCAAACATTGTATGAAATGGTTGCTTTGTTTGTTGTATGAATTGGCAAGGGATTGTTGGGCTGTTGCGCTCCAAAATACATCGCATGATGCTGATGTCAGGGCACTTGAATTGCTGAAAGACTTGCAAACGGGCCCAATTGCTGCTGGTGTTCATAGGGTTCATAGGCTGTGAAGGCTTTTATGGATACTTTGAGGGTTTAACTGCATATAGATGTTTGAAGGGTTTGTAGCCCTAAACCCTAAACCCTAAACCCGCAGCCCTGTTTCTGAGGCGGTTCCCACCTGAATCTTCACTCGCTGGTCAGTGCCATGGATAAACTCGATGGAGCCAGTATCACACACCACCTGAGACCGACGCGGTTTAGGGTTTCAAGCCTTCAGGGCTCCTAGGGTCGGCTTGAATTCCTTAGGGGCTGAATACTCTAGCCCAATAAAGGCTAGCCTTTTGTATGTTGTAGGATTCTAGACAACCAAGAAAGTTGAAGGTTACCTACCCAGTCCCTAAGATTCGATCTTGTTGCAAGATGCTTTTCAATGCCAGTTTGAGCCTATAGTTACTATCGCTAGAAGGCAAGAATACAGGAACACGTGGGGACAAACACCTGAAGCTCAAGGTGCGATTGCTGCCTAAATTCCCGACCTTGCGGCCAGCACGACGTGCCCCCCCAGCCCCCCCCCCCCCCCCCCCCCCCCCCTCCTGACCCCACTCTCCTATACCCCGCTTGTCTGCAGCGATATCCACACGCCCCCTCCTCCGCGCTTCCGAGCCCAAATCGGAAAAACGAAGCCTAAAATTCAAAACACCCTTTATGCCCGCGCAGCATCCTCAACCCCTAAACCTCTTAGGGTTGAGGGTTTAGGGTTTAGGGTTTAGGGTTTAGGAGTTAGGGTTGAGGGTTTAGGGTTTGCAGGCATCAGAAGGGCCCGAGGCCTCAAATTCAATGGCCTTGTTTGGCTTGCATGCACTTGCATACCCAAAGCGCCCAATACCCCTTAATTAAGGAATGTGCCTTACATCATAGTAAGCGTCACTGGATACATTAAGCAATACTCCCGAATTCAGGGATATTGGGCTCTTTGCATAGCTGAGTGCACCGCGAACTCATCGAACAGGGGAGCCTGTGCAGTCTTTTGACTATTCCGAACCGGGCAGTGGAGGGCCCTTGCCAGTGTAGAGCGCGTTTCCTCTTGCGGGCCAGGATTCCCAAAGAGCCCCAATATGGGGGTTTACGAAAGTCGGGGTACCCCCCAATACAGACCCCCCAAATAGTTTAGGGTTTAGGGTTTAGGGTTTAGGGTTTAGGGTTTAGGGTAGGATCCCCTTATAATGAGGACCGACGGTGCCCCGAATTTCGGACACCCCCCCATATCCGAGCCTGGAAAGCTTCTTCGGAGGCGCCTTTCACTGACGCCACGGCTAGCGAGCACGTCGCATCCTGGGCCACAGCCGGCGCGATTGCAGACTAGGGTCCTAGGGTCCTAGGGTCCTAGGGTCCTAGGGTCTTAGGGTCTTAGGGTCTTAGGGTCTTAGGGTCGTAGGGTCTGAGGGTCTTAGGGTCTTAGGGTCTTAGGGTCTAGGGTCTAGGGTTTAGGGTTTAGG